ACGTTATTTAGTGGCTGCAGTTTGCAACATTAGATAACGCCTCCTTCTTTCTGTCTCTGCCTCCCCTGCAGGAGGACGACAGAAAAGAGAAAGGCAGAGATGCAGTCAGTCATAACGCACCGCTGCCACCGTGTTAAAAATATTATTAAATAAAAACAGAAAACGAGTAGATTTGATTTATGCAATAAAAAGTCTCTAAGGAAAATCTCACGTTACGCACATCTGTGCCAGTGGTTCTGAAGTTTAAACCCACGCTCTGCTGTGACACTGTTGCAATAACAAGCACCAAAGTTTTAAARTCAGAAAACATTTCTCCAGTCAAAGTGATCAGAAGTCAGCAAGACTTTATTTCCAAATCCCAAAGCTGTGTCTTTAGCAGGAGGAAATCCTGCAGCGTGCACTGCACCACTGCTTCAGCTGCACTTCAGACGCTCCAAATCCTCCCGCTGTCAGCTCCTGGAGATGTGTCTACATCTGAGATGATGATCAGATGGGAATCTTTGATTTATTTTAGATTAAATAAGACCTCCGTGATGTGGACCTGCTCCGTGCGTAAAGCTGAAAATGTCTCTGTGAGTGTGATGCCACAGGACCGTCTTGTGAAGCCTCGTTGATTTTTTTTTTCTCTGTCTCACCTGGTTTATTTATTAAGTCTTCCAGACTTAAGCCTGATACTTCAATAAGACGTGAGACAGCGAGTTGATGATTGCACAATTTCAGCGCACAGTTCTGACYGGAGGCCATGCACAAGACGGCGGTCACCGGGGGATAGCAGCAGGACAGCAGGCGGACGTTGCACATTGTTTTTGTTACTCAGCTGGGGGGGAAAGGCGTGCAACTCGAAAAACCAGGTTTTAAGAGGTCAGGAGAGTTAATTCCAATCTGTCAAAATGACGGACGGCCTTCAGATTTTTCCGTCATTGTTTAAAAAAAAAAGGCTCAAATACGGAAAATATTCCGTTAACACAACCTCTGCCTAAAAGTAGCAAAAGACCAATTGAAATCAGCAAAACACTCAAAGCAACAAAAGGCAGCCTAAATATTTTAAATAGCACAGTGGCTGCTATAAGCTAGTAGTAGCAAAAGGCTTGCTAAAAGTTAAAAGTTGCAAAATGCTAAAAAAGCATCACAAGGTTATCTAAAGAGTAAAGCCACGCTGAAAGCCAAAATATATAATTACTAGCTAAAACAAAGGAGCATAAAAATAAATAAGCTACCGTAGACAAAGCTGAAAGATCAAAGTAGCAAAAGACCAGCTAAAATCAGCTAAACACTAACTACTAGCAGCAAAGCAGCTACAAAAAAATGCACAAAGAGACAAAAACAGAGCAAAAAGCCAAAGCAGATTAAAAAAGGTTTTGAGGAACTGAAGAGAAGCTGAATGTTTTGATATGTGAACTATAAAAATAACACAAGCGTGCAGAAAGTCTTATATTGTAAAAAAAATAAACAGGAAAACAACAGAGAATGCTGACTCAGCARTAACAAYAACACAAATATTTARTGGCATCACCACCCTGAATACACCACAGGAACTTTAACACAAACTGGTGTCTCTGCTGTGTTTCCCTGCTGAGCCTGACACCCAGGTGTGTAAAACCCACAGGGAGCTGCAGTACACTGATGGATGTGTTTTGTTTACCCACATTGACACTAAGAGGAAGTAGTACTCTGACATTCTGTCTGCTTTGTATCTGTGTGTGGACAGATACACAATCCAACAAATGAGCAACATCAACAGTMCTGAGAGCGACAAACATAATGTTTACATGAYGAGCCAGACAAACTGGTTTCACTCTGAGCCCAAATCCTGACAATATAAACTGTTTTTATACACAA